ATGAAAAATGGGTCCCTGGAGTGTACCATTTGATATACTTCCATATTAGGAAGTCCATTATGTAATGTAGTGATGGCATCTGTGCACAGGAGCCACTACCAGCATCCCTGATTTTTGTGCATTTTTGCGCATTTTTTCCGATTTTATATGGGCTGCCAAGTATTATCCTGCAGTGATCTATATATGGGCTGGACCTATTTATAGCACTAAGATGTGGTATCTGGGTCCCACCAATATATTCCGATTTTACTGCGATTGTACTGGATTTTTCCGGCCCAGAATGATGGCCCCAGGCTATTATTACCCTCCTGGACTAATTGGGGTGGCTGTTTCCCAGGGTATACACCCAAACCCGATCTGGATCTTGATGCCTAGATGCCGGGCAGGCCATTTGAAACCCAGCCCGGCACCCAGCACCCCTCCCGGGACAAGGGAGGGTCATAATACATTACACTGGAATGTTATCCTGTGTAATGCATAAGGGTTTGTGACCACAATAGGGCTGTAATACATTGATACTACAGCATCAGCTGAGTCGAAGGGCACACTCTGAGGTCAGAGCTAATACGACAATTAACCATACTATTGCCAGAGATGAAGCGACACTGTGAAACCAAGGCCAAATGGTGCATCTGAGAACTGCCGGAAACAGAAATTACCTAAATTGGATGATGCACAGAAAATCCTGGATTCTCATTATATTCTGGCCAGTCATGGTTCCCCATTTGTAGTACAGTAGCAAGGGATATACTGTGAGGGCAATGTGCATTAAGCCAGCGACTGTAGATCAGCTGTAATTACAAGGACTGGCTACTGGCATAGCAAATGTGACACAAAAACACAAAGACATTGCTACACCACATGAACCATACATGATATCTTCCTGCGGATACTCGCTGGTACCTCTCCAGGTATGCCCCATCAATCATACATCTTGTCCCAGGTGTCCCACCACCATCCATGCAGCAGCAGGCTACAGCAAGAAGTATGTGCATTGCAGAACTGCAGTGCTGGTAAGCACTTGGCTTCAGCCCGGGTTCCAGCTGTATGCCAGAAACTGACACACTCTCCAGCCTGCAACGTAGTGGGACACCTGGGACAAGATGTATGATTGATGGGGCATACCTGGAGAGGTACCAGCGAGTATCCGCAGGAAGATATCATGTATGGTTCATGTGGTGTAGCAACATCTTTGTGTTTTTGTGTCACATTTGCTATGCATCTCTATATCTCCATGAATAGTGACGTAGATGGTGCAGAAATTGTTACGCCTTGATGGCATACCACTCTATATACTAGGGAGAGGCTGTGCGGACCATCAAACTCAGTGGCGGTACCTGGGGAAAGGCTCCAGGAGGAGCACCAGTGAAAGGCGGTAGCTATTTATGAAGTGGCTAGATTCTCCCGCACTCTTGAGTAAACCCGTAGCTACATATTAGGTGACCAAACCCTCAAAGGGGCATAGACTTCTCACCAGTACTGGACTAGGAAATCACAAAATAATGTCCCAGAGCCGGTGGTAAGAAATATAATTTATGTGACCTTATAGCTAAAACAAGCAGTGTATCCATGCCATTGATCCATTTCTCACATTTCTATGCACTAATCCACAGTACCCCTGGGAATAAATCCCATGTGGGTGCATAGCACATAAATGTGGTTTTAACGACTACCCTATCATATTTTGCTATTCTTAGCAGCTGATTACCTATTGTATAGTGTGCATCAGCAGCATACCCATCCATCAATATTTTATGATTTATTCAGCATTTTTCCAGATTAATGTTTGCCCTACAGAAGCTTTTGAAGCCATAATTCTATTAATAGCACTAATCACGCTTTGGCATCCAGCATTCCAGCCGAATATGATTTACAGTTCCATCTACAGTACCATGTATGAGGCCAGCCATTCATGTACAGTACCATCTACAGTGCCCTCTATAGGGCCATCCATCCATCCACAGTGCCATCTACAGTACACTGCATTCAGCCCGGAAATGGAGTACAGTACCATTCACAGTCATCTACAGTACCAGCCATTATCAACCCATTGTAATACAGCACTGTATATCAAAGTCAGCCAGCAGCCAGTCCTTGTAATCACAGCTGATCTACAGTCACTGGCCTAATGCACATGGGTTGTACAGTGTATCTCTTTGTACTGTATTACGATGGTGGGAACCACTGGTGTTCTGGCATGGCTGTAAAAAGTGCGCTCACCTCTTGCTGTAGTATTATTACATTATTCACCCAATACTACCATGTACCCTATTACATTAAACAGGCTACATGTGCGGTGTTTATGCATTATTCTCCCCGATACATTATAGAGCTACCAGCAGCCCAGCTGGGCTTGAATACGACAGCCCCGGCATCTCCGGCATGGAGATCCAAATTGGGATTTGGTCTAAGCTGTTGCCAATAATAGGTGGGTGGCCATACGTGGCACTGTAGGCCCTAGAAAAATATGAACAAATATGGAAAATCATACTGTATTTCTGGGGCCAGGCCCAATGGTGCCGGACCTATACATAGTGTGGAAATGTGTCTAGAGCACCACGCAACAGCTACTTAGCAGCTGGTATAAAATCAGTAAAAATGCGCAAAAATCCGGGAAATTTTGGGGGACCTGCTGTGGGTGGCAGAATACATGTGGCATCACTATATTACATTAGTGAATGGCCAATATGGCATTAATTAATAGGGGGTACCTTCAGGATCTACATTCCTGCCTATTTCCAGATCTGGGGTTTATTTATCCTTATTGTTGATGTTGGTACTAATGTAGCAGTCCAAATAGTGTGTAAGGAGATGAAGTTCTTGTCCCAATCATGTCTAGGTAACATGGGTTATCCATTGCTGCACAAAAATAGTTTTTCACTGCCAGCTCTAGGACACTTTTTCAAAATTTCCCATACTATTACTACACCATATTGCTTGCCATTGGGGGGTCTTACTCAACCATGTAAGGCTACATGTTTACATAAGGCCCGAGAGATTCTGAGCAGCAAGTGGCTAACTACTGCTTTTGGGTAGTACTCCTCCTACGGACCCCCCATGGCTACCACTTGTGTTACTATTGGTTATAACACACTCCCCTTAGTGTATATTAGCATGTCCCACCATGCACATCAATATTGGGCCCACCCAGACCACCCCTTGGTGACTTAGCACCAGCCCTCCTCAAAAACACCTATATCACACCACCCCAGGACAGCCAATGTACCTACAGCCCTAGGAACACTCCTAGCAACATCTTAGAACATACCCCATACATTCCTGAGCTTACCCCAACCACCCTGGAACACACTAAGCATCCCTGAACACCAAAGTCACCCACCCGGGACTGTGGCCACAGCCAGACAGTACTGGGGTTGAGCACAAGTTAGTGTCCCAACTGTCCAAAAAGGTCCAAAAATGCACTGAGTAGTGCTTTAACAGGCTGAGTGGACCAAAGCATGAGTGGGGTGACAGGTAGATGATGCATCATACATGGGGCATCATTGATAGTGTGTTTAGAAGTGTTTCAATGGCTGTAAGTCCTGGGATGATGTGTAGGTGTTTTTGAGGAGGACTGGTGCTAAGTCACCAAGGGGTGGTCTGGGTGGGCCCAGTATTGGTGCACAAGTTTCCGATGCCTAGTTCACGTTGCATCTCGCAGTCTGAAAGCATGCCAATCCAGACAGTTGGATAATAGACATTGTGCTGGAACCAACGTGGGTCAGGTATGAGGCATCGGAGCCGTAGACAATACTTGATATCAGCAATCGTATCATGTGGGTGAGCAACTGGTGGTCATGGGTGAGTGTCGTCGGATGGTACAAATGATAGGCACATATTTGAATGGACATCCTTCAATGTCAGCCCTCTTATGAATATATTCATCCTGGGAGGCGAGCGAGGGAGTGGGGCCCTCAAGGCAGAGAAATTCGCATTCAAAAAATCATAGTGAATGTAATGTAGGAAGAAGATTAGACCGGTCACAGGAGATATACACACAACATACAGGATGCTAAGAGGGTAACAGCTAGCATGTCTGCTACTCCAATAACTCAGGCAGACAGTGAGAAATGGTCTGGGGCAGTGCAGCAATCATGCTAGCAAAGCCTGTCATGGTCGCACAAGAAAGGGTACCCAGTATCTGCAGCAGGGTTTTCTGCCAGAGCCATTGTCTCGCTGTGAGAGACCAGATAGACATCAGAGTGCGATGGCCGTAGCCATCTCTGTTTGACTTTAATGTAATACCAGGTGGGTGACATCCCGCACGGGGAGTGCTAATGAGAAAACATGCATGACACACTTCGCATATATTGACCGCAACATACTCTTTGGTACCTCACATGACCATCTCATCGCTTTGGGTGCCACCAGGGATGTCTGAATGCTTGCTGAGTTTACTGAGTTTTGACAAGTTATGTGCCTTTATGTGCGCATTGACAAGAATTCCATGAGCTGTGCCATGACAAGATTTGCTCAAGGAATTCACAGGAAATTCACAAGAATGTATGTAGATGGATTTTTATCTGACTTCCACACACGAGCACCACAAAATCTGGTTTGGCTGTGTACCACCAGTCATCCCCAAAAACACCTGTTTCAACCCACCCAGGGACCACCCATTTACCTGCACCCCTATAAATACCTCAAAATACACATCCAACTATGCCCCATGTATGGCCAAGCATGTCTGAGCCACCCCAATGACCCATAGCCTACCTGCCAAAGCACTACTGTATTCATTTTCCGACCTTTTTGGACACGTTCGGACACTAACTCAGTACTGTCTGCCTATAGCTACTGACCTGGGGTAATTTTCTTTGGTGTCCAGGGATGCCTCGTGTCTTCCGGGGTGATTGGGGTAAGGTCAGGAATGTATCAGGCATGTCCTAGTTATGAGTGTTTCCAGGGGTGTGGGTATACAGGCTGTCCCTGGGTGGGGTGAAACAGGTGTTTTGGGGGATGACTGGTGGTAAGTTACCAAGGGGTGGTCTGGATGGTCCCAAAACTGGTGTGATTGTTGAGATATACTAATATATGTGAGAGGAAGTCTGTTCCAATCAATTGCAACAGAAATGGTAGGTGTGGGGGGTCCATAGCAGGAGTACTACCCGCAAGCAGCAGTCACCCATTACTCCAAAACTCTCGGTGTCTTATGTAAACATGTGACCACATATGTGATGAGTAGGACCCCCAGATTCAAAGTCATGTGGTGTAGTAATAGTGTGGGAATATGCGAAAAACTGTCCCAGAGCTGGTGGCGAAAATGATTTTTTTTTACAGCAAGGTGTAGCCCAGGGCACCTATACATCACTGGTACAAGTCTCCCATCTGATTTGCACTGTTTGAACCACTACATCAGTCACAATATTCAACAATAAGAACAAACAGACCCTAGATATGGTAAGAGGTCAAAATGCAGATCCTATATGTGTACAATCTTATATATTGCCTTATTTGGTAAGAGATGATGTAATGTAGTAATTCCACATGTGCACAGCTATCCATGGGTGGTCCTGTGAATTTTTCCTGGTTTTTCCTTTTGTTTTCCTATTTTATATCAGCTGCTCATGGCTCATCCATCTGTGGTGCTCTGGCACATTCTCAAGCTTATTCATAGCTGTAATGCAGTCCCATCAGGCCCCAGAAGTATATTCCAATTTTTCCATATTCTTCCATTTTTCTGGGGCCTCCAGTGCCAGGTATACCCAGCCAGCTATTATTGATAACTGCTCAGATCAAATCCCGATCTGGATCTCAATGCCGGGATGCCAGGGCTGTCATATTCAAGCTCAGCTGGCATCCCGGTGCAGCCTCAGGACAAAGGGCAAGACCATAATGCATCACATACCCTAATGCAGGATTAATGTAAAATGTACCTACATTATAATGCATGTCTAATGTATTATTCCTACAGGATAAGGTGTGTCTGGACCTTGCATAGGATAATTGACAAGGTCATTGACACGTTCACAGGCTGCAGAGAAGACCTTGTCATGCTCCTCCAATTATCAGATGCAGCAGGGATAGACCAGAAGGACACCAGAGATGCCCAGATACTCAGACACAGACACAGACACAAACCGGAGGCTAGTATATAGCAATAGACTAAGGACAAGTACATCCAGTAGAACAGTTACCAAAAATGCGAAACTGTTTGTACCTATTTGGTTATTGTGGCTACTGAAAGTGTCCGATACAATCCAATCCTAACACCAATATGTTGAATGTGAGTTCTGACTCCACATTCGTGATCATCTTACAGCTGCAAGATGGACTGGTAAGACCGCCAAATGAGTATAAGCACAAAATGTACCTGTAATGAGTTGCAATGGAGAAGCTAAAGTAGCAAACATGGTTCCACATCTGCATCTTCTGCCATTCCTGCCTCTCACTGGGGATGTCCTTACCAAAGACATTGTTATTCTGGCCATAGGCCTCAGAGATGACAATAGGGCAATTGATCAGAAGGAAGTCAGAGAGGAAGGCCTGAGGTGCATTGTTGACCCAGTCATCCCATTGTTCCTGCATCAGCCTGGATAGGTAGATGACTGCATTTCATATGAGGGAGAGTGGTGGGCTGTCGGTACTACAGAGACCATGGATATATCAGAGATGACAATGTCAGGATGCAAGCTACAAAACACCAGTCAATCGTCCGCAAACGATTGACGCATATGAAACCAGAGCAAGGAAGGATGACGTACCGCAAGAAACTCGCTGCATTGAACTCTCTTAGACTATGAACATTAGGATAAGGGTTCGTGAGGAAGGTGCCCTGCTTCATGTCCTTGAGGCAAAAGAGCAAGAACAGGATAACACATTGAGAGTTAGCAGTTGACCGGGTGAGCTCAAATCCAACACCTGGACCCCCACAGTAGATATGTTTTTGCTGTGGATCAATCATGACCTGCCAAGAACCTTATAAGAAATTGGGTATGTCAGGGAGAAGGCATGGATGCCATCAGGAAATAAGGAAGTATAAGATACAGTATATACTGTACAAAGTACAACAGAGCAGTCTTGAGCAAAGTCGACAGCAGGTGCAGAGGTCAAGTGCAGATGGAATGAGAAAACATGTCAACACTACACTACCGATTAGGCCGAGAGGGCACCAGGCCACTTGGGGCAACGGGGCTGGAAATAGAGGACGTGTTCTTGTGCTTGGCTATCTCGAGTTGCCTCTGCCAGATGAGTTCGGCCCATAGCGGGTTCGGGGGTATACGGCCGACTAATGCTCGTAAGACTTCAAGCCTAGTCGAGGAAGTGTCAGTCAGCGAAATGGATAGGTAAGCATTTACCGTACCATCTCCTCTTTTCATCATCCGTGTCGGCGAAGAACACGATCTCTTGGTTCATCGGGAACAGGATGCGGAAGGACCGTTCCATCCCGACGAGCGAGTCGTCGCCCGAATATCGCCCAGTTGGTACCATGGTTCCAGCTTCCTCGTCGTCACGGACAGCGAGTGCCTTCTTAAGATCGATAGTGGCCGTCGCGCGCTTGGTGACGTCGTTGAATGCTACCAAGCTCGCACCGATAACTCGGAACGGTCGCCGTCGCCAAGTCTATAAGGGAAATTGTCACATCAATGTCAGGCGCACAGTGCTTGATCAGAACCATACCATGCAATCGCCTCCAGACTGCGTCAACGTTCCTTCAAAGTATGTTTGCTTGTGCCAATGGATGTGCCTGAGACCGTCGTGGCATTCTTCCAGGCTTTGCGGGAGTTTGTCCTGCGGGATACCAGGAAGAGGGGGCAGTCGGAATATCTGAAGCGTGATTTCACCGACTTGGGTTGTTATCATCTTCGATGCCGTTTCCAGTCGCTGCCCCAGGAGAGGCAAACTCGTCTCGAATAGTTTCGTGTCGCATCGGCTCGCGACATCCTTGAAAGAGATGAATGCGCGGGCCAATACGCCGTCAGGCTTCAGATAGCGCGCGAGGTTCTCTTTGATTTCAGGCGGTGCTGGAGGAGGCACCTCTCGCAGACGGTTGGCCGCATGCGATGTCTTCTTTGGCGAAGAGAAAAAGCTCCTGAGGCCTCCTTTTGAAGGCGGTGGAGCGGGTGGTGGCTGGCGCACAGGTGGCGGCGGCGCCAGGGCCTTGCACATGGAGACGATGTGCGCGTCACGCCGCACTTTTAGCGTCAGCGTGAATTCCAACTTGGGATGTTCAATCCTAAACCGAGTTGAATGCGGGCAGGTGTTCCAAAGTAGAGATCCACGTACAGTTCAAACTCTTGACCAATATGACAGTCGCGTGATAATGGGCACTCGGGCGTCGTAACATAATGGATGCCGTTGTTCAGAGTGCATGTCATGACCGTAGGTTCCCGAGGTATCGGTACGCGCAGATCCTTGACACCAACGACTATAAGGTTTAGCCGTCAGTTACGATATGACCTTAGCGCCCCTTACCGACGCTCACCTTTTACAAAGACCTTGCCGTACGATTTCCCTGACTTGTCTTGTGCGCGGTACTCCTTGATTTGCTTCGCATACTCGTTCTATAGGAGGGTGAGATGACGGCGAGGGTAGTAGAAAGGGATAGTGATACCATATCTGACGGTCTCCTCACCGTCCTCCAAGCCTGCCCGCTGTCTAGATCACCGGCACTCTGCATATGCCTGATACGGTCAGTGTCGGATGACGCATATATCGTCTCTTCGCGCTCTCGAACTCGGTATCTCTGACACGCAACCTATTAGAGCGAGTGCAACGACAAGAACGATGCAGTACTCACGGTCTGCTCATTCCCGCCGCGTTTCCTCAGCTCTCTGTCTATGCTGTCGCCCAGCGCGTCATCTTCAGCCTCGAGCGGCACATCCAGCAACTTGCTATCCCTCATATCCGACGCCCGCCTCTGCGCGAGCATATCCAGCGCGTCCCCGGTGCTCATGCTGCGGCGACGGCTGGGTCTCCCAGCGATGTTGGCCGTCGAAGGCAGGCCGTGACCAAGGTTCGAGGTCGAAGGCGGTAAATAATCATCGTCCAGCTCCCTCCTCCGGGCTTCGCGCCTCTTCTCGATAATGAGCTCCTCGCGCGTGCGGATGGCGTCCTTGGCGGGGACCGGCGGGGGGATAGACGTCTCGCTCACGCTGCGGCTGCTCGGGAGGCTCGTGAAAGGGGTATTCGACAGCAGCGCGGTGTCGGTGACGGGCGGCCGAGCGCGCGATGCGGTGCCATTCCCCTCGTCCGCGTCCATCGACTCCTGCGTATCGTCGGTGCTCACGTCGTACCGGCCGGCCACGACGCCCTCCGTGACCGCCTCGATCTTCAGCCCCGCCCCCTGCTCCCCGCCGACATCCTCCATCAACCGATCGAGGGCGCTCAGCTCGCTCAGCCTCATCCCCGCCATCGACAGCCGCGAGCGCGCCAGCTCCTGCTCAAAGTCGACATCCAGCCGCGGCGCGCCCGCGTCCTCCATCGTGTACGCCCTCTTGGGTACGAGCGGGCGCGGGGGGTCGATGCTCTGGGGCTCGGGGTCGAGCGACATGACGCCGTCGTACGTCGGGTTGTCCGCGCGACAGAGGTGCGTCGCCTTGGGCGGTTCCTGGCCTTCAACCTTCTTCTCATCCGCGCTCGCCTCCATCGTCACGTCAGGCCCCGAGAGATCGTCCAGGTCGGCGGGGTCGACGGTGCCGCTGTTCGTCTCCTTGATCCAGACCTCCTCTCCAGGCGGCACCTCGTCCTTTGCCGTAGAAGCAGACTGGACGCACGGCGAGGCCGCACGATCGGGGGGAAACTCTCGCAGCGGGCTCTCCATGCTCCGCTTGGTCACGAGCTTCCGCTGCACGTCGTCGCGGCTGATCCTGGGGCTGCGCCGCCCCGACCCGCCACTCGGCTCCTCGTCCTCGGCGCCCGCGCGACCCAGGGGCGACCCCATGCGCTGGTACGGCGAGGACCGGCCGTTGGCGCTGCTGCTGAAATACCCGAGGGGTGAGCCGACGCGACCGAGCGCAGGCGAGGCGCGTCTGCCCAGCGGAGACGCCGGAGCAGGGGAATGAGAGCCCCGAGGGGCGAACAGCGGCTCCTGCCAGCCGCCGCCCAGGGAGAGCGGCACGATGGGCGAGGCCGATCTCGTAGGGGCAGACATGCTCGGCCTGGGCGACGGCGACGCGGACAGGCGGAGGGGTGCGACGGTGGGCAGCGCGGGCAGGCCGCGGGGCGACTCGGTCGGGCGGGTGAGCCCGAGCTCCTCCTCGAGGCCGGAGAGGGAGACCTCGGTGTGGCCGATGCTGAGGTTGGCGGGGTCGAGCGAGTCGGTGGAGATGAAGGAGAGCTCGAGGGCCTCGGGTTCGTCTTTGACATGTACATCTTCTATGGTATCAACATGGGCTGCGTCGTTGACTGAACGGTCAGCGCGGTCAGCAGTTGTGATACGGAACAATATAGGACGGAGAATGTACCTAGCTTCTGTTCTTGAGGTGTCTCCTCTCCAGAACTCCGTCTCCGCATATGGCTGTGCCCCGTGCTTCGGTCATGATACCTCTCCAGAGTAATAGCGTCAAGCTGAAGAGTCGCTGTACCATCCAAGGACGGCGTGCGCACCGCATCCGGTGGGAGGTCGTCGGCATCCGAGTGACCAACACGGTGGGGGACGTTGCGATCGTGGTGAAGAGTCCTGCCAAGCGGCACACCGCCCTCAGTCTCCGTGTCAGGGGGCAGAGGCGAGCCCGAGACGGGGGTATGCGGCGCATCGTCGGTGGCATGGGCACCGTCCTCGTCAGTAGCATTGCTCGCTTCGCGGGACTGCGCGACGTCAGCCTCGTGATGCAGTGCGTGGTCGTCGTCCTGCTCCTCGTCATCTCCGCCGTCCGAGTAAAAGGGATCCTCGTCGCGCAGCTCGATCGACTCTTGGTCAAACTCGACGACGTCGCAGCACTCGTTAAAGGTGACGGTCTTCCTGCGCTGGCGCCGGCTGCCGACGGAGCCGTTGCCGTCGTTGCTGCGCGGGCCGATGAGGCGTTTCTGCTGGCGAAGGACAGGCCGGGGGGAGGTGGATGGCTGCGGGTCGGGAGAGTGCACGGCAAGCTTGTCGGGTACGGGAGGCGGCGGCGGCGTCGGCGAGGGCTCGGGAGTGGCACTGTGGTCTGAGCGCTGCTTGAAGGGACTGCGCGTGACGGGCTCTCGGTCGACCAAACGCTCGAGACCGCGAGACTGGCGACGCTTGGAGGGCGCAGGGGCATCGTTGTCGGACATGGAGAGGGGCCGGGGACGCTTCTCGGCGCTGACGCGACGGAACTTGGGGGTGATGGGACCGGGATGAATAGTGAGGGGACGGGAGGCGGTCGGGATCTGGGACTTGAAGGGGGACTTTGATACGAGGTGGTTGTTGCGGACGTGCTTGTAGCTGTTGGAGGAGCGGCGGGCGAGCTGCAAGGCCTCTAGTTTGCGCTGGGGAGAGTCGCGCTTGGAGATACGCAGCGGGGACGTGAACGAGGACGGGGCGGGCGACGCAGACTGGCGGGCGGGGCCGAGGCGGGTATCGGAGACGCTGTGGCGGTCGGGCAGCTCACCGGGCGGGGAGCAAGCGCTCATCGTGGCGGGCGGGCGGGCGTCGGGGCAGTTGCTCAAGCGTGAACAGAGTAGCCGTGGGAAAGACGCGACACCAACTTTGGCCGCGCGAGGTCACGTGGACGCGACTGGCGGATGCCGCGGCATGCTCGAGTGTCGCTGTGCCGAATGCTGAAATGACCGCTGACTCCTCCACCCAGGGCTACCGCATCCTCCTCAACCTCCACCGCCTCTCCCTCCCCCACCCGCCTGCATCCCCACGCACTAACACCACCGACGACCCCTCGCTCCGCACCGACGACGGCCTGTTCACCACCGAGATCGACCGCCTCGGCGTCAGCTCCGGCGCAGTGTACGAAATGCTCCCCGTGCGCTCGCCCGGGTGTCCGGCGTGATGTACGCCTAGAGCTTAGAGAACCCCTTTTTAGTCGGGATGCTCGCGAAGAAAAGCAGTTTTTATTATTATATCGACAATGTATATCGTTTTGTTGCATTTAATTCAGCCGTCCGATCCAGTGGGGGTGTCCGCAGTAAGACTGCACCTGAACATCCCTCCAGGTCAGCTGATAAGTATTGCGCCAGCCGCATCTACATCAAGGAGACCCTCTGTCCCACTCCCCCCGCGTCCGGAGGTACCGGCAGGTCGCCACTACGATCCAAAGTGAACGCTTGGTATCTGTCAAGGACACATTGGTAAGGGCAAGGCAGGCACAAAAAGACGCGAGACTCACATGCGGTGTAACCTGCCTCTCTCCTCATCCGAGACCGACGGCCGCGTCGTCTTCAGCGCGCGCAGCAGATGTTCCATCTGGATTTCCTGGTGCTGGAGAGACTACTTTAGACCCATGCAGTCGGTGTCAGGGAATGAGCACTTACTGATTTCTCTTGGTCTTGTGACGACCTAGTGGCAGGCTGTCGCGAGGAACCTGCCACTATTTGGCGCAACTGCCCAAGCATACATGAGCTGCTGCCGGTCGTTTCGCATACCACCTTGACTCACTCTCCGCTTCATAGCAGCCTCTTCAGCCTTGGACACGACCTTTGTCGTTGCCGCGCCGCCAAGTACGGTATACTCCAGCTCTACCTCGTCGTTGCATGCGTCGCCGCCTACCCGCGAAGCCACGCCGTTGGGGATGTTCGAATGCACGACGTCCAGATGCGCGTTGTACACGAGCGCCTGCAGGTCGGCGCCGGAGAACCCCTCCGTCTCACAAGCAATCTCGTCCCAATCAACGGATGGTGCGACGGTGACTTTGCGGCTGACAGCTCCGAGGATCTAGAAGGATTTTCCGTTTAAAGCTCCGTCCTTGGCTAGGTTGAACGTACGTCTCGACGATCCTCCATGTCCGGCATGTCACAAAGCAATGCCTTGTCAAGCCGTCCGGGGCGAAGGAGCGCGGGGTCGATCATATCAGGACGGCTGGCGAGCCACGTTAGCCCGGGATTCACGCATGCCAAACGCACTGACCTGGTGGCGGCCAAGACGTAGACACCCGTCAGGCCCTCGACACCATCCAGCTGGGTCAGCATTTGGTTGACCACGCGGTCGGTGACGCCGGTGCTGTCATGTCCTCTACAGCGGCCTGTCAACACCCCGAACGACCTACCATAACTAAAAGGTGAACAGACCTCTTTGGCGCGATCGAGTCAAACTCGTCGAAAAAGAGAACGCAAGGCTTTGCCGCACTGGCACGGTCAAACAAGTCCCGCACCTGCACACGGCCATCGGCGACCGCCACTGCCGCAAGACAGAACCACGCACCGATTTCTCACTCGCGCCTATGTACTTGTTGAGCAGCTCGGGGCCCTTGACGCTGATAAAGTTCAGGCCGCACTCCCGCGCAACGGCCGACGCGAGGAGGGTCTTGCCGCACCCCGGGTATCCGTACAACAGGAGCCTGGCATCGCACTTGAACACATACGGTCGAATAGCAAGCACGGACTACGCACCCCGAGCGCAGCCTCAGCGGCGACTGCGCAAATATGGGCGCATACTTGGTCGGCCACTCGATCGTCTCCCTCAGCACGCGCTTCGTCTCCCTCAGCCCTTCCAATCCGAGTCAATCAGCCGCTCACGTCCAGCCCGCCAGCAGCTCACGTACCTCCGATATCCGCCCACGCAACGTCCGACTTTTGCAGCTTGATATCCCGCAGGGAGAGCGGCGTGAAATCCACCTGCGCCGCGTCAAAGTCCGCGTGGACAAGCGTGACCTGCGCCGCGTCCGCGGTGGCACCGGCGCGGATGAGCGCCTGGTGCACCGCGCGCGCGACGAGGTCTGCGAGGTCGACGGGCGAGTAGCCCTCCGTCTGCGTCGCGAGCACCGTATAGTTCAGCGGCGCCTCGGCGTCCTCGCGCAGGTCGCCCGCGGACGCGAAGCGGCGCTGGACCTGCGCAGCCAGGATCTACCCAACGAGCCACAAGTCAAGACTACTAAACGTCACAAGACAGCACTGCAACCTCACCTCCCTCCGCGCGTCCTTATCCGGCGGCGTGATCTCCACCACGTCCGCAAACACGTGCATCTGGCTCAGGAGCGCGTGCAGCGCGCTCTGGCTCTCCGCCGTCGCGACGCAGAGCACGCGCGCCGTGTCGGGCGCCGCGAAGCGGGACGAGCGGCCGTAAAAGTGGAGGAAGAGCTCCGTGAGGTGGCGCGTGCGCGTCGGGTCCGCGTGCTACAGGGCGAGGGGACGTTAGGGGGAGGGAAGACGGAGGAAGGGGGATGTATACACCTCGAGTTCCGCGGGGAGCAGCTTGTCGAGGTTGTCGAGCACGAGGACGGCGGGGCGGTGCCACGCCGCCTTGGCGTACCAGAACTTGAAGAGCGCTTTGAGGGACGCGACGGGGAGGGCGGCGTACCGCGCGGCGTCGACGTACAGCGTGTCTGTGCAGAGTGACTCAACAGCGCAGGGTACGTCATGGTGCTACCACGTACACGCATACGTCCGCGGGTCCGACTGGATCGCGTGTGCGACCGCCTTTGCGATCGCGGTCTTACCGAACCCGGAGCGCCCGGTGAGGAGGAGCGTGGATACTTGGAGGGTGGTCAAGGCGGGCTCGCAACGTCGAGCAGTCGAACTCACCTCCGCGCACGACGTCGACGTCGAGGTGCAGGAGGTAGGTGTTGATGCACCAGTCGACGAGGCGCTTCAGGAGTGCGTCGATGCCGGAGAGGTGGGGCGCGATCCTGGCGCGGTCGAAGGGCGGTGGGGGTCTGCAGAGGAAAGGAAACCAGGTCGTGCGGTTAGGAGATACCGGGAAGGGAGGGAACGTACCTAAGATGAGTGTTGAAGACTGGAGGGGGCGGAGGCGGGTGCGAGGACGGCGCATACGGGGATATCAGCGTGAGCCTGTGTCGCATCATCATGCATTTCGTTCCGAACGGCGAGGACAGCAGGCAACGCGACTCGTACCTGACCAAATCCCACTCGTCCACGCCCATCTCCTCCTCCCCACCCACAAGGACAACGTGCATGTCCACGATATCGTTCCAGTACGTGAGCACCACCTCCCTTCGCTCACTCCCCTTCCCCTCTTCCTTCCCTTCGGAAACTTCGGTCGGCTTGAGGACTTTCGCTTGCGGCTCTGCTGCCGGTGGCGGAGCGGTGGGGTCGACGGGAGCCTTGCCACGTCGGTACGTTGCAACGAAGAATTTGGTCATGGCAGACTGGTCTGGGGGGAACGGCCAGGGCTGCCCGCTGAGCGTCGCGAACGTCCACGGCGAGACGTACATGACGGGCTTGGGCTCGGCCGGAGACGGGAGGTCGGGGACCAGGCGGGCGGGGAGGACGCGCAGGGTGAGATTCGATGAAGAGGTGGCGGATGGCGGGGCTTTTGGTTTCGGGGGGGAAGAAAAGGCGGTAGTGGTGGGAGGGGCGGTGGAAGGCTGCTTGGATGCAGAAGAGGGGGGCTGCTTGGTCGAGCGGGGCTTCGGTGCGATGGAGAGCTGTGTGGAGGAAGTCAGGAGAGCGGGTGTGGTTCGTGGCGGGATCAGGGAGACTGAGAGCAGGGGTTAGTGGTGGCGAGGACGGCGAGTGGTTCCGTACCGACGCTGAGCCGGACTCTTGTCCTGCCATGCACCCAGACGTCCATCTCCTGACCCACTGCAGCCACGCGGACCTGCGAGAGGAGGGTGGATTCCAAGTGGGCGGCATGCAGCTCCTGCAGGACCAAAGGTTGTGGGTGCTAGAGTATCATGAACGGAGAGACTTACAATAATCTCCCAGTCGTCTGCGGTGACTGGTTCTGCGACGACAGTATCAGCAGAGGGCAGGTCGTACAGCAGACCGATCTCGACCTGGGGAAGAGATGTAGGGAAATCAGATGCGAGGGGAGTGCGACGTACGACAGCGCCCTTGTACAGCCCGACGGACTGCGCGTACTGCGGGTCAATCTCGACCGTCTCGAGTCTCCCCTCGCCCGACGCAGAGTTAAAGTGGGCAAGGGACGAGGCGGACGCGAGCCCCGTCCAGCCGACATAGACCTCGGCCGGCTTCTGCTTGGTGGACTTGAGGTGGACGGCGACGGACTGCGGGCGCTGGCCGCGCTGAAGCAAAGGCCCGTAGAGCGAGATGGGCAGGTTCACGAGCGACGAGCGGAGGCTGCGGTACTCGACCGCGCACGTCCGTGTCATGGCGGGAGCCAAGTGACCCTAACCCTAGCCCTCGACGGCGATTCACACTTTGCCACAACATGTATTACACTAGTCCTCATCACAAGTCACACTATATCCTTAGCAAGGTCCCAGCGCCACCGACTGCCCCGAACAAAACCGCCCATTCACATCGTGTCCGTCCACGTTCTGCACATGCCCTTTCTATCAGAACGTCCTACTAGAACTGCCACAGTCCACTCACGCTGTATACACAGAACTCCGTGAAAGGCCCCGACGACCCCGGCGCTGCATATCTGTCCGTTCGCACTTCAGAGCTCGCTCGGCCGTGGTAAAGTGAGCATACACACCCGCATAACCTCAGCGTGGGATCGTCCGGGGTAGTGCGGTCAACCACCAGGTGGTAGTCCCCCAGCATCGAAGGACACTGTGCGCATTGGCTCTGGGCGCTGGACAGCGCCATGGCGAGGAAAATAGCAGCAGCCCCGGCGACGACTCTGGCAAGCATATCGTTCGAGGGCGTGCTGGGAGGGCACAAGCTACCTGGTTTATATAACACGGCAATGGACACTTTCCATTCCATTGCAAATCTGGCTCTCGCAGATGTCCCTCCTACGAAGGCAATTGCTCTGCCGCATACCGATGTCAGAGTTACTCAGGCCTGTCGACCGGGCAGTTTCGATTCTGTGGACCATTCGATGCCTCCTGACGCGCCGCCAGGTCCTCCCCTGAGAGGCCTGTCGGTATCTACGGGCGAAGCGAAAGGATGCTTTTGTGCTCGACGTAGGATAAGCGGTTTGTTCAAGGCACCTCCACCGATGTGTAATCTCCAACATAGGACGCGTTATGCCATCACATATGTGGCAATACGGAATGCCTCCGCTCATCGACGACCAGGGGTACCAGAAACTTTGCTCTCGAGCCTATGACAGCCGACTGAAACAGCCACCCTGCGTGGCCGAGGCAGGCGACAACAAGTAGATGCTGAGCTCGGCATTGCCCTTGTCGGACGCTCCGTAACCTAGTTGGTATCAATATCATAAACACAAACTGCGTACAGTACAACTCTAGACGTCTATTAGGAAGGCGGGGACTTGACACCGTTGACCATGAGCTTCTGCGGGTTATTGCAGTGCGCCTTGAGCGCGTCGAGGACCTCGGGGATGACATCGCGGTGCACATTCTTCCCCCACAGAATATCCAAATGCTCGTACCCATGCAGGCGCTTCTCGACCGTATGCCCCGGCAGCTCGGCCAGCATCGCATTGATATCCACCAGACTATCGCGGTCGCCCCACAGCAGCACGATCGGCGTGACGATGTTCTTCGTGGGGAAGCGCGCGGGGCGGTACCCGCTGTTGCTCGTGCGCACGGGGCTGAGCAGCTCGTCGTCGTACATCTGGAACGCCGCGTTGCGCATGATCTGGAACCAGTGCACGACCGCCTTCACGCTCGTGAACGAGTACAGGTGCGCGTACGCCGCGATCTTCTGCGACGGCGCGATGTTGTGCCCGCGCCACGCGAACAGCCACCCGAGCGACGTGTCGATCAGCTTCGCAAAGATCGGCGGGTACAGGATCGACTGCCACATCGTCGCCGACGACAGGATCGACTTGCGCCCGAAGAAGAGGTACATGAGCGTCGGGCTGGGGCCGGTCAAAAGGGGTGGAACGCTGAGTGGATCCAGAGGACTCACGAGGCTTTCATCAGGCCGTCGACGACAGGCGCGGCGAGCCCCTCGGGGTTCATCGCGGGCGCGAGCGCGATAAAGACGTTGACCTTTTCGTTCAGGCGCGGGTGGATGCTCAGCGCGGCAAACGCCTGGGCCGTGCCCTGGCTGAAGCCTATATAGCTCAGGCTCGGCTCCTTGGCCGCGTCGAGGATGTAGTCGATAGAATCAGGGATATCGTGCCACGCAAACTCGTCGATGGAGTAGTCCCAGAACTTGGGCGAGAGCGAGTTGTGGTAGAGGTGCTTCTTGGAGTACTTGTTCCCGCGGTTGTTGCCCAGCCAGACGTCAAAGCCATGCTCGGCAAGCACAAAGGGCAGCGCGCGCTCCTCGTCGGTGAGGCAGACCCAGACCTCGCTGTTCATGAGCAGGCCGTGGTGGAGGTAGACGACGGGCTTGCCGGTGCTCGTGCCCGGGCGGTCGCGGCGCTCGCCCTTCTTGGTGGGGAGGCGGTGGAGGTTGAGGAGGTAGCCGTCCTTGGTGAGCACGATGTGCTCCTCGTGGACGTACCCGAAGATGGCGCAGAGCTCGGCAAAGTCGCGCGCCTTGCGGATGCGCTCGCTGATCTGGCGGTGCTGCGACTTTGGCTTGGGCGGCCCGAAGAAAAAGTGGTAGACGGAGCGCGAGTGGCGGGTGAACCAGTTCACGACCGACGTCGGCAGGAACAAGACGGTGATGCGCAGGACAAACTCGAACGCAATAAAAAGAAAGCCAAAAACGAGTGCAAAGTATTCGCGGGGAGACAGGCGGCCGATGAGCGGGACGCGGGCCATGGCGGGGAGTGGTCGTGGTCGTTGTTGAAGACAGCGACGAGCGTATCTCACAATCTCGATCACTTTCTGTAATCACATGCTGCACGCCACCTCGTCTTTGAATTTATTTAATCCTAGACGGCCTGTCTGTTGTGGTACCCCCTTCCACCTGTGGGTTCGAGCTTGCGAGCACCGCCGCGGGTGGGCCTGACTGATAAGATGATAAGAAAATCGTATATATTTGTTGCGGCTACTCGATGTACTGCACACGATTGCCCTTCGGGCAACCGACTGCTCGGGGCAGACGCACTTGTCTTCCGTTTGCTAGGAATATTTCAACAGAGACAGGATATGCATGGTGAGTCTGCTCCATCTATCACCTCCCACATAGTTGCATCTCGCCCACCATGTAACATCTTCATGTGTGTTCTCAAATAATTGTTGGCTGCTATTTATGCTCTTGTGCGAGGCCTGAATGTGTTGAGCTCAGTGATTCACTATCATTTGTCAGTGCCAGAGGGGTGGATGTGGTGCCCAGTGAGAGCATTCAGCGTTTTGACAACCATAATGTTGATGAGCTGGATTGCAGCTGTGGAGAGAGGCAGTGGCAGCAGGGTTTCAAGAGTCACCTGCAATGATTGCATCTGAAGGAGTGGAGGGGACAAGCAATCTATTGATGAAACCATACAGGAGCAAGTGACAGCATTGACAGAGCATTACAAGAACAGATACATAACAGGTGCAACAAGTTTTGAGACCGTGACATGGTCCTTTCCAAATCCCACACTTCCCAATGAAATTGGCACCTTTTTATGCAGAGCAATAGGCTAATGAGGGTCCATGGCATCTTCTTGCAAAGCCTGATGGTGGCCTTCTGCGACACATACATTCAGCCTTCCTGACAACTGTGAGCCAGGTTGATTTTGCCCCATCTGCACTCCACTAGGTTGACCATGGCCCAGCTTGGCATGATGATGGATGAAATGGCCTTTGCAATGGTGTATTATTGACGGCCACACTGCAGCATGAATGTCCCTGGCAGTGCTGTTTGTGGCGAGAATATGTAGTGAGTGACTGATCCATATCACACTGTCTGCGGTATTTTTACTCACAGTCATTGACATGCGACAGAGAATGGTCACAGTTCCACTCAGGCTTGTTCCCGGGGTCAATCATGGCTCGCTTGACTGCATCAGATGTGATACATTGCTGTGTATGTGGCACTTGGGCATTGTCCCAGCTAAAGACTGGTTTGAGCATGGAGCAGGATGGATCTTCAGCAGTGCATTTCCAAGCTCTATGCTCTCTCACAGCATGTGTGTCCATGGTACATGGCCAGTTGTCAGACGTGAACAATGGTGCATTTTTAGCAGCTTCATTGATCATTTGACCTGGTCATCACACAGTGTCAGTGCAAGAAGGGTCCCTGTGACGATCTCACTCACCCTTCATAACTCCTGCCCCGTTAAAGAGTACCATCTGACTGATGTGATGTACCATCTTTTCCAGCAGTGCATCATGTGTCCATGCACTATCTGTTTTCTTACACCACTTGCTCACTGTATTAGGCAGTGTCCAGACAACCTCTCCTTTACTGTTGATGAATAGGATGTGCCGAGTAAAGTATGGGTGATGTATACATAGATCTCCTGATGTCGCAAGGGATGACCACAACTTCCATCTATCCTCTCCAACCTTGCCCCACAACTTCCTCTGTGAGACATCAATGAAGGCATCACCTGGATGTCCTAAGCACAGAGCAGGGTGTCCAGTGTGGGCAAAGCAGGTAGAATATACCATGGCATTGTTGGCAGCATAAGGATAGCCTTTCAATTCATCCTTGCTGTACACCTTGAAACATATGCCAGCCCAAGAGACACGTTCCCCAGATGGCAGGACATTTCTCCTGTCCCGGAAGCAAGGTTGAGATGCCATGGATGGTTGCGCTGTGGATGGTTATCCTCCACGAAAATTGCTCCTGCTCACGGTCTCCGAAAATGGCCCCTATTTGACCGACGTCCCCAGACACCGCGGGCAGACTGCAGTCTGGGCTCATAATACACGCAAGGGTGGCCTGTTGCACGGACACGGCAGCGCACACCCAGCTGCTGGTAGAAGTTACGGAGAAAGCTAGTACCAAAGTAATATTGTACGAGACTGTATCCCAAGTCTACTCCCGCTTCGCCTCGCGCTCCTTCTTCCTGAGCGCGCGCTTCCGTATGCTCTTGTGCAGCCCGTGTGTGTAGCTCACCATCCCGCCCGTCCAGCCGAGGACGCCGATGGCGTAGTCGACGAGCGCGTGGCTCCAGAACGGCGTGCTCGTGTGCGGGCGCCCGGTGAACGCGGCGCCGCAGGGGAGGCCGAGCTTCGCGAGGACGGCGCGCACGAAGGCGCGCGGCGTGGGCACGAGCGCGGAGGCGCGCCGGATTTTGGACATGTTCGAGACCTGCGTGCGGAGGGGAGTTGTGAGAGTGGGAGAGGGAGGGAGAGGGAGACAGGGCGTACCACGAAGTAGGTGTTGACGTGCTCGACGACGATGCCGTGCGGCTTGAGCTCGGCGCCGAGGGCTGCGGAAAAGGTCGCGAGGAAGGCTTTGGAGGCGGAGTAGGTCGCGAGCATGGGCGAGGGGATCTCGCCCGCAAAGGAGCCGATGTTCAGGATCAGACCGCGTTTGCTGTTATTATTCAAGTCAGGCGGGCGGAGCAGGGAGGGGACAAGGGAACCGCACCGCTGGAGCATGTGCGGGACGACGAGGGCGGTGATGCGCAGCACGGCTCTGGTGTTGATCGCGAGGATGTCGTCCATCTCGGATTTGGGGGTCTCGACGAAGTCGGTGGGCATCTCGTGCGACTTGCCAGCGTTGTTCACTGGTATGGGGGTGTTGTGGTGAGCTGGAAACGTAGGGGTGGGGTGCAGCGAGGACGCACCTAACACGCCGATATCGAGTGCCGCGATGGTATCCGCAAAGGACGCGTACGCGGCTTCGTCATCCTTGGATAGGTCGATGGTCACGACCTTGGTCTGCGAGCCAGAAGCGGCGGAAGCTAATGAGGGGTCGCAGGACAGAGATAGGGTGGATGAGACGGACTCGCCGACCAGCGTACGACGAGAACTCGCGGCTCACCGATCTCAGACACAGTCTCATTCAGCGAGCTGGTGCTCCGTGCAGCTACGAGCACGTTGAACCCCGCCTTTGCCAACTGGACAGCAAACTCGCGCCCGATGCCGGTGGAGGCGCCGGTGACCACTGGGGTGCAGGACACTAGGTGTGAATACAAAGGAAAGGAGGGCGAGTGAGACGTACGGACCTGCCCACGCGCCTTGCTTTGCACCGAACTTTTTGAGCTGCCCGTCGCGCAATGGTCAGCCTGGTCCTGCTGCAACCACGGGATCACGTACGCTAGTGCCGCCTAGCAAGAAGGTCTGCGAGAAGACGACGGCGGTCTTGACTGCGAAGCGCAGGAAGGTGAACGAACCCAGTGCGAGGAGGAAGGCAGAGAGCCATGGGTGGTCGACGGCTGCATCAAGCCAGCGTCAGGACAAGTGTGAATGGGAACTGGTTGAAGCGTACTCCAGGTGAACAATGGCAGCTCTGTGTTGAGGATTACGAGCGGCATGGCAGAGCGAAGTTGTCAGGACCCGACTGCACCGTCTGAGCCGGCGCTGGCAGAGCTGACCTCGACGCGTCAGTGTGACCTGATCATGCGTGACCGACGCGAGACGCGTAGACCAGTGCTGGCTTACACGATGTTTGTATACGATACAGCGTATTCCTACCAGATATTCAGATTACGACAAGCATTCGCAGCAACGCGTACAATTGGTACTCCTGCTACAGGATGTCCCAGACCTACGGTGACGGTCTCGAAACTTCCGGGTGCAAGCACGCATCCACCTCGGGTGAGCATGTACAACGTCTGACTAGGAAAGCTGCAGACATACGCCCAAAGAGGAAATGATGGGAGCCACGTGGGCGAGAAAGAGTCGAGGCGCGGTTGCAGCGTTGTCGTAAACGTCTCTGCGCTGCCGTCCATCGCCAACCCCTTTCACCACCGCCCGTCGCTGCCATGAACCGCTCGGGCACATCGCGCGCGCCGTCGCCGACAGGGACGACGTTCTCGGGCATATCCAACTACCGCACAGACTCGTACCGGCCCATCAGGGACAAGAACGTCCCCGCCATGCCTTCCATGGATCCACGCCGCATCGCAAACATCCATTTCCAGGAGCTCAGTCGTTACCTCGCAGAGTATCTTGCCGCAGGTCTGCTCTTTCTTCTCTTCGTCCCGTCGCAAAAAATCTAATCGCGGTCCGGCGTACAGAACCCGCGAATTCGCGCTCGAGTGCAAGACAAAAGCTGACAAGGCTAACGCGGCAGCAATTCCAAGAACTCTCGACAGATGTGTATGATGAGCTCATGCGGCGGCGGCAGAACAACTCTGGGCAGAACGAAGGTGCGCCTGCTCCTCCCTCTCACCTCGTATTCGCGCGCACCAACGCCGCCCCCACCCAGCAGTCCCCTTCCTTCCCGTGCGCGACGACTTTCACCCCAAACGCAACCAGGCCCGCCAGAAACTCGCCACCCTCCCCACCTCCCGCTTCCAAGACCTCTCCAGCGACGTCTACTACGAACTCTCCCGTCGCTACCCCGAATTCAAAGAGGAGGTACGTGCGATACTGACTATCTTGTCCTTAGTGCCTCACATTTCCTCCAATCCCTAGGTATCCGATGCCCCCCAGCCTTCCCCCGGCTCGACCTACGACGACTACCCCTCCCCCGACTTCCCCACCTCCCCCCGCTCCAAAGGCGGCACCCCCGTCGGCGGCGCCCGGGCCAGCCGCACCTTCGATGACCGCGACCGCGACCGCGGCATGGACAGCGGCTACGGCGGTTCCACCCCCGGCGGCCGCCGCCCCAGCGAGGACTACACGCGCCAGAGCGTCTCCTCGCGGCGCAAGCCCTCGCAGGACGCCGGGCGCAGCATCCGCCGGCCCTCGCAGGACACGACGATGAACGAGTACGGCCGCCGGCCCAGCGGGAGCGTGAGCACGACCAGCGAGCGCAGCGACCCCCAGAGCGCGACCGCCACGAGCGGCGTCGTCATCCCCAACAAGAGCACCATCGCGGAGGAGGAGATCGAGGTGCCGTACGGCCGCGAGGGACGGGATAGCTCCAGTACGGCGATGGACGAGCGCGAGCGCGAACGCAGCCGCGATGTCGATACCGACGGCGTCACGGATGGCGAGACGGACGACCCGGGCCCGCGCAGCCCGCCCGGCATCGGGCTCGGTGGGCTCAGCGGGCTCACCGCCCGCCTCAGGGACGCGGACGAAGACGAGGAGGAGGAGACCGTCAGCAGGGGCGGAAAGGAGGATTACTATGACCGCATGTCGTTTGGGCGCGCATCAGTCGCAAGTGACCGCTCCGCTGGCGGGCGAGCAGGGAGAGAGGACGAGGAAAGGATACGTAGGGAATACGAGTACAAGATTGCGACGATGCAGAATCGCATCACGGGTTTGGAGCGCGAGCTCGAGAGCTCAGGTGGCGAGGATCGCGTGAGGCAGATGGAGGGCGAGCTCGACCAGCTCAGACGGGTGAGTGCGCACCTTGACGGGCTCTCTTCTGCTTATCGACTTTGATCCTCGGTCGCACAGCGCGCAGAGGAGCAGGCGACCACAATCCTCGCCCTACAGAGAGAACTTCGTGAGCTCCGAGAGGATCGAGCTAGGGAAAAGGACATGGAGGCTCGGCGAGCGAGAGAGGACGAGGAGGAACTGCACATTCTACGTGAGCGGTGTGAACGTCTGGAAGAGGAGCGCGCGAACGGCGGGGGAGGAGGCGTACGTCCTTATCTGCGTAAGCTTCTTCCAACTCACGCTCACTGCAACCACAGGCGGATCCGGAGATTATCGACCAGCTCAGGGCGGACATGGAGGGCCTCATGGCAGAACTTACTGATCTTTCACGTCGGAACGACGAGCTCATGAATGCGAAAGACTCGGATCTCGCGGTCATACGCGATTTGGACGCGCAGGTCAAAGAGTACAAGCGCAAGTACGAGCAAGCAAAGACGGAGCTGCGCAGCGTAAAGGGTGAGTATCATGTGTCCTGCGGAAGCCTCGACATGCTCATCCCGGCCTGCAGCCACGTCCCAGCTATTCTTGCCTACGCCAAAGACGGACGACCAGCTGCCGACCTCGTCCGACGGCGGCCTGCTCGATATCCACGTCACGGCGTTCGTGTCGTCCATTGACAACCTCCTCAAAGAGGGCCGGTCTAATGCGCCCACGCGTGTGCTCATGCCCATGAAAGCCGTCGTCAACGCCGTGTCCGCCATCGTCGATGATGTCCGGGCATTTGAGCGTCGGCCCTCTCAAGATCGGGATCGCATGGAAGTGGATATGGAGGCGCTGAGGGCACTCAGGGAGCGCGCAGAGGCCACCCTCAGTAACCTCGTCGCCGCTACCAAAACGCATGCGACGAGCAACGGGATGGCGCCCGTCAGTCTCCTCGACGCCGCTGCCAGCCACGTCTCCGCGACAGTCACAGAGATCGGGAAGACGATCTACATCCGCAAGGCGAGCAAGGCTGAGATGGAGCAGTTTAACCCTGCTTCGAGCTCGTCTGGGGCGGCCACCAATGGCTTCTCGCCGGCGCTCAGGTCGGTGGAGGAGAATAGGATGCATGGGCGCGCGGGGAGCAGTTCGAGCTCGAGACGCGAGTATGCGTCGCCGACGTCGGGGCGCTATCCCGAGTCCTCGCGGACGGTCGCAGGCCGCATGTCTGCCGAGGACAGACGCAGACCGCCGTCGAGCTCAGAGGTGTCGGGGTCCAACAGCAGCTCTCCACCGCCTATCTTTGATCAGCCGAATTCCGCTGGAGTAGGTCCTGTCGGTAGCGACGAGTCGGCGGCGCCTGACGGTTCAGAGGACGCATGGGCCGAATTAAAGGTACATTCACACTCTACCTCGATTGCTCGCCCACTAATAGCATCGCGTATTAGCCTTACCTAGAAGCGCAAACGGAGTCGATAGTGTATGCTATCCAGAGCGTCCTATCAGGCGTCCGCAGTCCCACCCCCTCCCCGACCTTGAACGAGAACCTTACGCAGATCATCACGATCGTGTCAAGCATCGTAGCCGTCTGCAAGGACAACCTACCCCCTGGGTCCGCCCAGCAAGGAGCTGATATCATCAGCGAGCTCAGTGACCACGCGAACAAGCTTAGCGAGGTGCAGGCACAGCCAGAAGTCACGAAAGAGTCGCGGCAGATCATGGCCAAGTCCAGCTTTGCTGTTGCGAACGCCATGAAGGCATTGATGAAGTTGGCTTAGGGGCAGCTGGATTGGCGTTCTCTGCCCTTCCTCTCTTTCTGTTGTTTTTTTCTCTCTGAGATACGCACCATGACGTCGCGCTTGGACTAAATCCACACTCAGTAGAGAAGTAGACGGGCTGCACTTGGATCGCCGACCAGTCCCGGAGCTTGTCTGTCGGGCCGCCGCGATTACGCCTTGACTGAGTTATTAGCATCGAAACTACAGAGCCCAAGTATTTTACCATTAAAACCATTCCTTACCCTCCAATTGAGCTATGAGAGGGGGTTGCGACAGCGTTCCTAAGCCGAATACGCACAACATGCATAGGTCCTACGAAAGGCCAAGCCAAAGGTCGTCAGAACGAGAACAGGACAATGAGAAAGGAGAAGCCGGTAAATCGTACGCGGCGCAATGCGCTGTACGATTACCGGTGGGTTGGGGGAGGCTCGGTTTGGTGGCGGCGACAACGTCGCCCGCGGTGGCTGCAGCCAGGCCACACCAAAACCGAGGCTCAGAGCGCAGCCACGGAAAGCGCCGTCTTCGGGACGCAACGAAATCCGGGCTACACCACCCCACTGGACACGACAGGGAAGTGGAGGGCGGGCACAAAAAAGCGTCCATCGAGCCAAGCTTGGAGAATTGGGAGAGAAGGAGAGAGGGCACGCGCTGAGCGTTTAGGAAAAGTGTGCGCGCTCAGCGCGTGGCAGTTCTCCCAGATCTCCTTAGCTTGGCTCGACATAAGACTGAGCCGTTCGTAGCTCACGTCAGTCTTGTCCAACACTTACACTGACTCACGAACCTCCGGGCGACACAACACAACCCTGAACTTCTGCAATAAACCAAGATCATATGACTTCTGCATCACACGGTGCCGCCGAACACCGGCTGCCCATACCAACAAGCTGTCATTTGATCCACTCGGATACCTCATCTTGCTGTGAGTTCCTGCCCAGTTGAAGTTGACGAGCATGGCATGTGATCCTTTGTCCAGTTCTCCATTGTGAGGTATGCACATGATGTTTGGAGTTCGGAGATCCCCAAAGACTAGATCGTCTGCATGCAGTGCCTCGATCACTGCTTGGACATCCTTGTACACAGAGTAAGGGAGGCCATAGTTAGAGGCGGGACATCCAATATGGAAGTAGTCACTGTTCTTGTTCATGACATCTTGCACACCCACAAATGTTTTGATGTCATTTGAAGGTGAAGGAAGTGACAAATGAATATGCTCCATGCAATTATTGCGGTCTGACAAGCCATGAGCCGTGTAGCAGACATGCAAACCAAATGAGATGGACCTCAAGTTGCCTTCCTGTAATGCACCTTGAGTTCACTCAGGTCTTCGAGACTTTCCGGGACAGAAACATGGCTCAGCAAGACACGTAACATCTATAGATAAGTGACAAACCTTCAGAGGTAACAATCAGAACATGAATATAGTCCACATCCATTCCTTGAGGGAATACAGACCTGACTACTGAAACGTGAACAAGAATCTTGTATTGTTCATCATCGATGTGCTCCTGCAGCCACTTTTGGGCACAAGAATACAATGTACGGTTGAACGGCCAAGGCAGGAGGCTCAGGATGAACATGTCTCAGATACATAGAAATCTGAATAGAGATAGACAAAAACCGTGTACGGCGTATACTGCACCCCACCAATGTGCTTTCATAGTACTTCCTGCTCTTCCAGCAAACATCTCATTACAGATGTCATGGTTGTCTTGGGACCACAAATTGCCACCTCAGCGGAAATTTGGTATGATGGGTGGGGATAGTAGAACAGAATGGTGGTATCCGTATTGTCAGAAGACATGAGTAGCAGCCAGGGACTAACGAGTAGAGCTAAGTTACGCCGGAGACAATCAAGGTTAAGTGGCAGAACTGTGGCACTGGCACGTCGATCACGTGCCTATGGCAATGCAGACTCCTCCTGACTTTTTCGGGCATCCCATATAGATGCTATATAATATGATACCCATTTCATAAATGTCCAAGAGCATCTAGTAATACAATGCGACTGCATGCTAGTACCCCGACGGCTTCGCGTTCGACTTGGTCGTGTCATACGCGCGGATTAACCGCGCCTGATCGTTCCGGCCCACGTTTTCCGTTTGACTGAACGCGAAGCCACGGTTTCTCCGCATTCGCTGCGTCGCACGCACTTTCTTGATGGCCTTCTGGAATCTGCAATAGCAACATCAGAAACGCACAGGCCCGGGCCCGAGTGACACAATACGCACTGTTCCTGCCGTGGTCGGTAGTCGGGTATATTATACTTCTGCAGCTCTTGAATGATATGATAAGACAACGGGTGGTACGTCCTCCGATAACTGAACTGGCGGTCAGCACTTCATGCTCCACTAATTAATAGAGCCCCTACTATTTCCAAACGAAATCGCGGGAGAGGCAGAATATCGGCACAAGAATGAGGGTAAAGTAGAACACAGCGTCGGTCCACAGTCGGGGTACGATCCCATAGTACTCGGTCGAGAAACCAATCGCCGGGGCCACGACGGCGTAGAGCGGAAGGAACAGCATCGTAAATATGAAGGAGCCAGGAATAGCTGTGAACAGTGTTAATATGTTTCTCAATTCGATATAGGGAACATACCAGCGACAGTGTACTTTGTCCATATACTTAGGAAAGAAATGTCACTATGTTGAACCGCTGCGAGACAGTCGATGGACTCACTCGGAGATCAGTGCAGCTTTACCTAAAACGGTCAACAATGTAGCCAAGTAGAGCGTCGTTCCCCAGAACCAATGCCCAGTATCGTATCCGGTTGCCTGTTTTAGGTCGCCCCAGAAGAGTATGATTGAAAAACCAAAGGTGATCTAAGGAAACGGTTAGCGGAGGAAAACATCTGTCGGAAGAGGGGACGTACGATGCTATGATACAATGCATTGGCAATCCATAGCCAGAATGCCGTCTTAGTGAAGAAAGTGTTCTTCTGCCCGAGCATATACAACTGCGGATAGCGGTCCAGTATACGGGCCGAGACGAACTGGTCAAAGACCCCGATGACCAAAGGCGGTAGCACCGTGAACACCACGTTGTACAGGGAAAGCGTCCACGACTCGAACGCGATTTGTCCTGAGAAATTGTTGAAGAATGAGAACTAGCCATGCCCTCAGTCTAGGTCCACTGGATATCGGCAAATGATTGAGGCATACCCAGAACTGTGTCATGTACAAAACTATATTCTTGTAGAACGAATCTATGAACCCACGTCAGGCAAAGTAGATATACTGGGGACAACTCTGACGCACATAAGATGAGCTTCGATAACCGACGGTAACTCCATGCGCCATGTACGAGCAATAGCTTCTTCAAGTAGCGAAACTGAGATATTGCCACGTCCGCGGACCGCGCTGCTTGCAGACCCTGGACAACGTTGAGAAGACGAGGGCAACGGATAGCCTTAGGCACGCACCTCGACACCGGAGATACCAACACCTACGTGAGCGGCTTGGATCATGCTCACATCGTTGGCGCCATCGCCGATGGCCAGCAGAATGGACTTCTGATTCTTCTTCACAAGTTTGACGACCAACGCCTTCTGCAGGGGCGACACACGACCTAAACAAAAGTTAGTCATGAAGCCATGCGCGGGTACGAATTCTCCTACAGCATATAACAGCCTTGCACATAATGGCCAGCTCGAGGAACGTCTTTGATAGCTCCTTTTCCAGCGCAAATGTAAGGCTCTTGCCATCTGGGTTGGGTCAGCAATGGCCGACTCTCCGAGAACGGATCCGTACCAATGATCAGCGCCAAGTCTTCCAGTTCTCCCGAATTACGCTGACTCTTGATAGCGTTCAGTCGCTTGTGAAGGAACTCCTGCGTGGCTTGCGCTGTCTCCTCGTTGACAATGACCTGAGACTCTGTGGTAAGCGTGCGACCGCGATCGAGAGTGACGTGAACAAACCAGGTTCATGGACTCCGAAATCAAGCGGCACGACATTCCAATGTTGATAGCAGTTTCTTGTCGATCACCTGTAAGGACCCAAACCTACAAAGCATATGCAAGTGTAACCAGGACGAAACATAGCCTTAACGAACACGCACCTTTATACCAGCCTGCTGCAACGTATGGATGGTGTCGGGCACGCCCTCCTGCAGCTTGTCCTCGATGGCAGTTGCGCCAAGAAGAAACATGTCCTTCTCTATCATCTCAGCCGCTCGATCCAGAGCTTCTCCGCGTCCATTGATCGTTTGAGTAGCCTGATCATAGACGGTCGACCATTCGCGATATTCGGCATCGCTGATATCTCGGTAGGCGATACAAAGTGTCCTTAATCCTTCCGTGGCATAGTCCTGAGATACCATAAGAGCCTGTCGACGACATCAAAGCCCCGAGGACCTACCTCAAGATGTACGAGCGTCTTTTCGGTGTACGGCTGATTCTTCGCTAGTCGCTCGAGGATGACGGTATCGGCACCTTTACAGTACAGCTTGATCTTCTTATCAGGACCGCGGACAACGGTAGACATGCGCTTCCTCGTCGAGTTGAATTCGCAGACGTTGAGGATTTCAAACTCTTGCGAGCGTCCTTGGATATTGACAAAGACAGACCTGGGCTTGCGAGTCTGAACTCGGGAAGCAGACGACTCAGTGCCGGGCTACGACGATCATTCGAGGATACGTACGTGAAACTGGTACCCGAGCAACTCCGCACCGGCAACCAAAGCCGCCTCGTCCGGACTACTGGCCTGAAAAATGGTCTTTCCGTCCCGCACCTCAGGAATGACAGTATGACAAACTGCCAACAAAGTTAAGAACTCGTTGACAGCCATTGTCTCTCGATCGCCAGCGCTGGCCGAACTAGCATCCAGGAACGGGTTAACGGTGCTGGACGCGACCTGTCTAAGCTGGTCGAACGTCTTCCAACCGTCCTTACCGTCTTCGCCGCGCTTGTTATCGTCAACTTCCTCGGCGTACGCGACGCCAGCGATACTACAGCACCGGAACTCCATTTCGTTCCGCGTGAGGGTGCCAGTCTTGTCGCTGAAGACATATTCGATCTGTCCGAGTTCTTCCACAAGTGATGACGTCCGGCACAGCGCAGGCGTGTCCGTCTTCTCGTAGTACATGTCGAGATCGGAGTTGATTAGTTGCGCCTGCTGGAACTTGACAACTTCCATGGTGACGATCAGAGAGATGGGAATGAGATTATTGTAGAGGATGATGAACGTCAGTATGTCTGATACAGATGTCAGTACCGTGGGAGATAAGTATTGGGTAGAACCGACCCTCAATAAACCCCTTGGCTGCGTGACGGTATAAGCACAAGCCACTATACGAGTACACTTCAGACTCACCGCGGTCGCTGATAGCCGTGCTTTCGAGGAGGTACCACTGCTGGTTGGAGAAGAACCACTGCGGACGAGTCAGCCAAATCTCGCGTCGGAAGGAAGGATAACAGACCGCCTTACCGTTCGTATACTGCTACCGATCGTGGACCCAATTGAGAGCGCCAGCAACAAGATGAACAAGAATACGATCTGAACATTTACTTGTCGCTCCACCGCTGTTCTCTTGATAGGCGCGGCACTGCCCATGCATCACTCTGTCAACGACACCCGACTACGCAGGGTAGATAGATCAAGATGAACTCACGTAGCGTTGCGCATCAACTTTGTCTCGTGCCCCGTGAAAACCGCGATCCCGTATACCCAAGGTGTATTCCTGATCTGCGCGCCTCGGAGTAAGAGTTGATCTGGACCGAGCGGGACTTGTCTCGGGATACCTCCGGCGGTGGTGAGATCCAGAGTGCCTTCGTAAGTGTATAGGGAGTTGTTTGGCTGTTCGGACCGGAGGTTACCGTGGAGGGCCAGGACGCCGTGCGGAGACGTCAGCGATACGGTCTGCGGGGATGCTTGTTTGATTTTCAAGTTCGTCTCACTAGTTACGGGATGAGCGGGCCAGTTTTCGAGCGAAGGAAGGGCTACGTACCCGTCTAGGTTAGACGTTTCGATATAGCAGAGACCCTCTGGTTCACTTGAGCTGATGAGGATCAAGTCGGCAGGGATAAAGTCGTCGCTTTCCAAACGCACGACGTCGCCTACGGAGATGTCCTGCCATCGCTTGTCTTGGAAGGTGCCGTCCTGCATTAGCACCTTGGCCTTCCGGGAGTTCAGCTCGGAGTCGGATTGATGACGTTTCTACGGCACGAAGTGCTAGTTAGTGAACAACCACAGCAGTCGGTGGGGATCGACGAACTAAATCCTCCTGAACTTCCTTGAAAGCCGATGCGAGAAGAACGACGGACAAGGGCGCAATAGTCGTCCATTGGTTTGTAGGAGATACGCCCGGTATCTGTTGTATACAGGCAGTGAAGAGGAAGAACAAGTTGGCATACTTGGAGAACTGCTCTGGAATTGCAAGGATCGGTCGCGCTCAGTACACTCGGACGACTGCTCGTGCATACCTGTCAAGAACTTTGGGACAAAGGTCGCAGCATTATACTTGCTAGTAGATACATAATTAGAGACGAAATCGGCGTTTGCGGTTTCGTTATTCAGGGCGATAATCCTCTCCCCCTCGAGTACCTGCTCCTTCTGCCAGGGCCATCTCCACTTGCGTTTGAAGAGACGCGTCCGAGGTTTTGTTTTCGGCGTCGAGCGCGGCGGGGGAGGTTGATTGGGAACGGGAATGTCATCGTCGTCAAAGTTCCACCCTTGCGGTAGACTTGTAGTAGAAGGGCCAGTACCAGCTGGCGGCACGGCGCTGTGCGTTAGAGGCAGGCCGCTCTCCTTGGACTGCATGGGGAGCGGTCGGCCAAAGGCAGAGTCGGGCATGTCGTCGTCGTCGTCAAAGAAGGGGTCCATGACCTGCGGGGACTGGTGCTGGAAGGGAGCGGTGGAGGAGGAGGGAGGGTAGCCATCGTTCGCGGGCTGGTACTGCCGACTAGCGGGGTTGGCTTGGGAGACGAGGCGGACAAAGTCGTCGGCCATCCCGTCGGTCGTAAAACGTCGCGTAGATGCCCGCAGTACGCACAGAGAGCAGAATCGAAAGGGTAGAGCGTCGGGCGCAGGTCGCAGCTGCGGGAACTATGTATGGACGGACGTCGCTTACAGCCTCGCGTTGGAAACATACTGAGCCCCGCCATCGGGGTTCGTTACTTGCCTAGGGTAATTCAACAATCTCAATGTGGTCATATAGTGTAGTGGTCATCACATCGGATTTTGACCGTCGTGGTTACTCTTCCGATAACCCAGGTTCGAGCCCTGGTATGACCTTACTTTTGCTCCATAATCGAATTTACTTGTACCTCACGTTGTATGTCCACCAACTGTATGGATCGTGTATTCGTCGCCGACGGCAGTCCAACTCGCGCAGGAAGGACACGATGTGTACTTACGAGAACGCGTCCTACCAGGACGAACGCGACGCGATCGTAACTGATGGCTTTTCTATCTGGACATTTCTTGTCCGAACCCAGCGGTGTCTCGATGAAGAGTCGAGTATTATAATTTGTTGTTTACTTGTCTACCCGCAGCTGCCTCTCGGCTTAGAAACATATATAAATCCCATGTAACATATATGCTAGTTCCCTTGAAAGCCAAGGCTGTTACCCTCAAAGCCACAAAAACATGCTGGACTCACTGATAGGACAAGCGCAACCCGTACCGTCGTCCCGTCCGTCCCATCCGTCCCTCCCGCCGTCCACCCGCTGTCTCACTCGCCGCCTGGTTCGACTGATCCGCCCCCCGCCCGCCTCGTGATCTCGCCCCCCGTACTCGTGCTCTTATCCGCCCGACGCGCGCGCGTGAGCATCTGACGCTCTGACGAGTTTGCGGTCGCAACTGCCGCGGCGTTCAGCAAACGCGCTCCTCCACCTAGGGTCTAGCATGGGTATACCCGGGTTAACCCGTGGGTGTGCCCGCGGGCAAAGTGCTGGCGAGGACGGTGCCCGTACCCGACCCGGGCACAGTGGCATGGGTATGGGTAGGCCCGTGGGTGTACCCATGGGTACCCGTGGGTGCCCACGGGTACATGTATTGTAAAGTACTTCTATCTCGTGCTGATAGTGTACAGGGCAAGAATTATATACTATCATTCGCTTTTGCTTTGCCCTTCCCCCCTCCCTCCGCAACTGCCTTATTACCCGCCTCAATCACTCGAGCAACAACTTTCACATCGGATAACAGAGGGGTCTTGATCCACGAGCCTACCGCTACCTGGGCCTTGAATGATTGCGAGGACATATTATGCTGTAAGTGATTGACAGTAAGACGGCCCGACGAGAAAGAGCGCTCCGCATCTACCGATGATGCTATGGAAATGCCTTATCAATCCCGAACCCATGCGGCAACAAAGATGTAACTTACCTGGCGCAGAAAGGAAGTCCAAGGCCATGCGTGCCAAGCAGGGTCTCGACGACTTTGCTTGCTCCCAATACTTCAACACCCCGCCGGCATCCCTGATTACATCTGGCGTGACAGGCGGTGACGACAGATAGCCTTCGATAGTATCTTCAGCGTATCGGTACGATGAACTGTCCGCCTCACGATGAGCACTTGCCCACCTCGAACGTGCCTGTGGTTACGGGACTGCAGTGAGTACAACCGAGTGAAACCAGCATGATAGAGGCTGGATCAACCTTTACTGGTTCTGACGTGACACTAGCTCCCTCGGTAGCCACAGACGTCTTGGGGGCGTACGTTTCATTCCAGCGGTGTCGCACTAAACGATCCACCTCGACCCGGTCCTCTTGACGCCAATCCTCATTCTTGTTGAACCACTCCAGCTTCCGATCTGGACACATAGCTAGACACAAGACTCTTGAGGTATGATAAACATGTAATAGAAGCACGACACACCTATGGCAATGCGATAGACTTCATTCTCGTCGGTCAAGGCATAATACTTCTCCACAACCAATAGAGCGGCCTGCGCCGCAATCCGTATGACATCAGGCAGCTCACCGGCAGCATCACGAACATCTTGCAGCTGGTGCTCCATCTGCTCTATAATAGGAATGACCTTGTATACGAGCGGGACTTCGGCTTGCTCAAACAGGTTGGTGATCTCCATGAATATCTAGGGGTAGGAGTCAATCTAGGATTGCAGCTTTCCCATCGGAGAATGGGGCACTTACTTCGAGTACCTCAGCAAGCTGCTTCGCCAGCTTCCACTGTTCTTCTGTAAGTGCGTATGCCTTGAGATCGTTGCCACTCGTCAGCTGTCGTATCGGCACCTCAAAGCGTATATGTGCCATGAGGCAGACGTAGTCTGAGTTCCATCGAGTAGGTACACGCCGGTCGAGCGTACGCTTTTGACCTTCCATAGCACTCGCATCAACTAACCTCTCGAACTTCTCTTGAAGAGTAGGACTATCATGCAATCGCCGGGCTAACCCGGCAACCTGAGCATTGTTTTATCAGTAGTATTCCAAGTATCTGGATTATACAGCCACTCACCTTAGGAAACACACCCAGCGCCATGGTTTCCTCAGCCGAAAGGAGTACAAGGCCGAATTGATTCAGAGCCGTACTGATTGCCTGCTGCCTAATGGAGCGCACGACAGCGTCATCGTGCGCCGATTTCGCATCGTCAATGGCACCTGATTGCTGGACTTCTTCTGTGTCACGATCTGCTAATTCGAGCGTAATGGCCTCCAGATCTTGCTCGGCAGCACTCAGTGTAGGTTCAGGAGGTGCGGTAGCCTCTTCTTCACCTGTCCCGGGGATCACGGGCGGGTCTGTTAGCCAGGTGCTGGCGGTCGCAGCCCGGGATTTGGCGTGTTTGCGCTTCACGCCCGATGCAACCTTGGGCGGTGCTTTCGGTTTCGCAGGTTGACGAAAGAAGAAAGATATGAATGCCTAGTATCTGACGTAAGATGGCTGGTGTAAGAAACAACAGCACTTAAATATACCTTCGCGATCAGATTCACTGTATGAGGGAAACATCGAGTACGAGACTCAGTCCCACGGAATGTGGGCACTAGAGTCTTAAGTACGGAGGCGGCCTTGTCGCAGTTACTTGCATTATCCATGCAAAGTGTATGGATCTGGCAAACTGAAAGTCAGCCTCGCAAGACAACAGACTTCCCAGCACGGACCTTCTTATCAAGTCCAAACCTCTTGAGGCATTCGGCCGTGACTTGTGCAAGGTATTCACCCGTATGTTTCTCCTTGAGTCTGATCAAACCATCTGTCACTGTAAATGAGATGAGACGTGAGGGAAAGGACGGACCTTATAAACTCCAAGATCGACCGCCAGATTCTGCCCTCACTATACCATATGACTACAATACCTAAATATGATGCTATAAACGGAGCCGTCCATCCATCCATGACGATATGAACACCATTATCAATCGTCTAGGTTACACAGGATCAGTATGGAGAGTATGAGCAACATGACAAAGCATACCTTGAAATATTCTCTAACCGACTTGGACCCTTCCGCATAGATTAGACGCACGTCTCGCGACACCGTGCTGGATGAAGGCGGCTTGGTTCCAGGTCGTAGTAATTCAACCTCGGCCACGTAGAAAGGGTCGTGGACACTATTGAAGGGGCGATATGATGACGCACATCGCAATGCCACTAGGGCTCGGTGGCGGGCCGGGGTGTATTGCGATACCGTACTCATGAGGGTCTGTTGGGCACCTTTGCTGGTATCTTCGCCCGCGCTAACACCTCGCTTTACATTGCAAGCGTCAGCAGAGCGCTGCAGGTTACGCGTCCCATGAGACGTAGCCATACGGTCACGAAACTGGTCTTTGTGACCGGCGGGGTCACTTCGGCACGTAAACTTGAAGGACATATGGTGCGGTGCACCAGTCGCGGTCAGGTGCCTCACCAGTGATATGTCGTAGTGGTCGTAAGCCTTCGACTTCCATGTCTCCCGACTGCGTCCTGTTTCTAATGAGCCCACGTACTTGTAAACATGTACGCGAGGCCACGTACTGATGATTTCCGAATCGGAAAGCATCCACGCATCCAAGTCAGCACTGAATTTGTCCTTCTTCGTGTTCTTCCGTTTCTTCGTGGGTGAGTCGATCACTGCTATGGGCTGAGACAACGTGCCAGCCTGACTTTGGGATGTGCGAGCCCGAGTGTTCTTAGATGGCGAGTCTAAAACATGAGATGTCGTGGGCGGGGTTGAGATGTTTGATGCAGGTGCCGCTGTCTTCGATTTTTTCGGTGGGGGTGTGGCAAAGCCCCGATCTTCTTCCTCGCTGTCCACACTTTCCCGACCTTCTCATAGCCAATCAGCTTATAACCTCCTACATCGTAGCCTGAGACTTACCAAACCCTCCACAGACGCGTACCTTGAGTGTTAGATGGGATAACGGCCCGATGCGAAGGTCCCCGAGAGCTTCGGACATTCGTAACTGTCGGTGGGACATGTGAAGCAGATGTGTAATATGGTATCTTGTTGGTAAAAGACGGCGCATCCAAAGCATTGCGAATACTTCAGATATTGTCATTTCCTTCGTTACAACTGGATTGATGCTCCTCAGCACGGGAAGCCTCATGACATGATATCTGCTACTCACGTAGTGGAACTGAGCGGGAGTGTGCTCCAAGCACGAATATCGTGAACTGGGGACCCTTAATGAGTTGACGGAGGTTCCGTTGGCGTATAAAAATGGCGTGATCCCGTCGATATCGTGTATGGCTTGGCAGGAGACGCTGTAAACATAATAATGCAGGATTATGGTATGACACTGCAATGCGAGTCAGAACGAAGTATAGGTGTTGCGGATGGGAAACTGACCGGCTGCCAAGATTATAATGATCACGTAGGCGTAAGCTACCACTATGCTAAACGCGGTCTCATCAAAATACATTGGGGTGTCATACAACGGCAGGGAACCTGAAAGGAAGCTGCTGCTCGACTTCGGCAAACTCAGGATGAATATCATGGCAGCAAGGGGTGAAAGACAGAGGGATGATATTAGTGCAAACCATGGGAGTTGTCGTGCTGCTAATGCAAGCTTGCACAGAGGGGAAAGTGAATTTCGAGAACCCCTTCGAGAGCGGTGCTCATGCGAGACGCGTACGAGGGAAGACATGGCGACTCATCCGTAACCGAGCAAGTCAGGCCTCTCTTGAATCTCCCCTGTTATCATAGATGAATTACCCTTCAGCCTATCCATGTTATCACTGGACATTGCATCAGCGTGCAAATCTATTTCTCGCATGTCCCGCTCCATCTGAATCTGAGGCGCAGCACAGAATCACCCTACGCGAGATCCATGGAGTGGTATACCAAGATGTCACTCCAGCTTGTGGGCCAATGGAGGCAAGATAAGTCTGTATGTGCGGCTACCGCATCAGAAAGGCTAATGAAACTATGGATCGTAGATTGCGGTACGGGCGACGGAGGAGATGACGACGACGGCGGCGTTGATAGCGAACGGACGAGACATTCGTTGCCAACACAGTCAGCACTCCAAATACAAGTAAATACAGGTAAATAGGTCCCCGGCCCACGGGTGACCCACGGTCTACCCATCCTAGCACTGGTCCTGCCCGTACCCGTCCCGGGTACAACGGATGGGTACCCATGATCCGTACGGGTACACCCGCACGGGTAAAGTACGGGTCGGGTGGTGGGTGTACCCGGGTAATGTCTGCCCGTGCTAGACCCTACCTCCACCCACCGCGAACGTACCGTGCGCCTCGTGCCTCGGTCGGTAATCATCGGGAACTATAGTCTCGTACCCATCCGTTCTGGAGAGGACGCGGACTGATCCGGTCGGACTTTCAAAAAGTTGTGCAAGGTCCTCTCCAGAACGTCTGGTGCACTTCGTTCGAGCACTACAGTGTGAGGCGCTCAAAACCGACCACTCGGCCATAGGCGAGCCGCGGATCCTATCACGATCGTGAGAAAAGACTTTTAGGTCCCGAAAACCAGACCAATCGATTCCTTTTCACGAGAGCTTTCGAGCCATCTGATTATTTTCTCGAAATTCCCACTTTTAAGAATTGGATCCTTCACTTATTTGAATTTGAGTCGGAGATGTAGCGGAGTTACCATAAAGGGAAGCTTTGTAATCACTTAGGGTTAGGGAGGCACTCGACGACGAGCGCAGCGAGTCGGAGAGTGACTAGAGTTAGCGAAACTAGCAGACAACGGGCTAGTTCTCTGGGGAACTAAGCCTCTACCCGTTTCGCATTTTATGCTCTTCAGGTCTGCGTAGTATTTTGAAATTTGACGGGCCGCTAAGTCAGTGTGCACGACTAAGCGGAAGTACTTCCCGTAGCTCCGGGCCGATGCCGTCGGCTGCCGAGCAGCCGAGGAACAATGGCCCTACCTTTCTGGGACATTTCAAATTACGGAGAAACTTTACCTCTGTAATTCTTTGAAAGGGATTGGTCGTTCTAAATAAAACCTACCCATATGGAACGGACAGTAGGCCCCCCTACCGTCGCGCGCCCAAAGTACCGCCCCAGCGGCCGTTCTGACTATCTGGAAAGGGGCTTAGGCACCTCCCCTTCAACATT